GAGCTGGTAGTAAAAAAATAGACTTGATGGGGCATCTCCATGCTGACTTGTTTTTCCAAGAAAAACTGCTGCTGAACGGTGTTGATGTGAAAATTAAACTCACCCGCAATAAAGATGCCTTCTGCTTAATGAGCAACGATGCAAACAGGCAATACAAATTACAGATTTTATCAGCCTCCCTCTTTGTCAAAAAAGTGAAATTGACACCAGGCGTCCGCCTAGGACATGCTGAAGCTCTACTTACATCTAATGCCAAATACCCAGTGGACCGTGTAAGCATGAAAGTATTCAGCATACCGGTAGGGAGCTGTGTCTCCAATCAAGAGAACCTGTTTTTGGGACAACTTCCTAAGCAGGTGGTGATAGGATTGGTTGATAACGATTCTTTCAGCGGGGCATACAGTAAACACCCTTTCAACTTTAAGCATTATGACATCAATTTTGCGGCACTCCGCCTAGGACATGCTGAAGCTCTACTTACATCTAATGCCAAATACCCAGTGGACCGTGTAAGCATGAAAGTATTCAGCATACCGGTAGGGAGCTGTGTCTCCAATCAAGAGAACCTGTTTTTGGGACAACTTCCTAAGCAGGTGGTGATAGGATTGGTTGATAACGATTCTTTCAGCGGGGCATACAGTAAAAACCCTTTCAACTTTAAGCATTATGACATCAATTTTGCGGCACTCTACCTGGATGGAGAGCAGTATCCTATGAAACCATTTCAACCCAATTTTGAAGAGGATAATTGTGTGAGAGAATATATGAGTTTAGTTCAGACTGCTGGCAAACACATGAGAGACAGTGCACTTTTAATTAACCGTGAGGAGTATGCAAAAGGCTACACACTCTTTGCATTTGACCTGACTCCGGATCAAGAATGTGCAGACCATTACTCGCTGATTAAAACTGGAAACCTGAGGGCGGAGCTGCGTTTCGCCAAGCCTCTGCCAACAACCGTCAATATGGTGGTTTACGGCGTTTTTGACAACGTGATAGAAATAAATCACAGGAGAAACATCTTGTTTGATTATATGTGAAATGGATACCCTGCAGTTAACTCGTCTACTAAGCTCAAACCCCTATACTCAAAACAGTTTCTATGGTGTGTTACCCTGTGACAAGCTTCCAAGAAAGCACATGCAGCAAAGACCAGTAGCGCTGATTATCAATACTCATCCCCATAACCTTCCCGGAGAACACTGGTTAGCTGTTTACCTACCGAATGAAAGGACAGCTGAATTTTTTGACTCATATGGACACCCTCCTGACTATGCTTTGTTTCCCAAAGCCATTGTGAACTTTTTAAGAAGAAATGCCATCAAAACTGTGTTTCAATGCAAACCTGTACAGGCCTCAGACTCGGTTGTTTGCGGACATCACTGCATGTATTAATACATGTTTCTCAACCCTAGTACACATTACTGAAATATGTTGTTAATATCTATCTATCTACACACACACACACACACACAGACACAGACACACACACACACACACACACACACATGCAATCACATCCTGAGAAGAGAGTGGGGTAAATAGATACTCACCAAAGACGCCTCAAAAATGGACGGATAGAGTGCAGTTTTGGACGGGGTTTTTATACATTTTTAGCCAGTGGGGTGGGCTAACTCTCCCCAAATTTGAAAGTAGGTTGATTTATTTTTAATAAAAGAGATATTGGTTCTAAATTAAATCAATTCCTTTTGAAGTAAAAGGCTTCATGCCATAGGTATTTTGATGATTTTCAGATGTGCCCCCTACCCTGGCTCCCCCCAAAGAAAGGGGTGTCATGCCATAGATATGGTAAAACTATTTTTTAAAAGCCTAGGATGATTTATTTTTAATAAATGAGATATTGGTTCTAAATTAAATCAATGCCTTTTGAAGTAAAAGGCTTCATGCCATAGGTATTTTGTTGATTTTCAGATGTGCCCCCTACCCTGGCTCCCCCCAAAGAAATGGGGTTTTACCCGGTGTGCTTTACACAGAGGTACGGCTTCAGTACAGCATAGTAAAAGGCAAAAATGACATTCTGTTTTTTAAATCATTTATTCCACAGCCTTTTAAAATACATTTTTACAGTTGTATTAGATTCTTTGCTTTTTAAAACTGACGATAATAGCCGACGATTTCACAAAATCCGTATATTTTCTGTTTTTCAAGATGTGTTTCACCTTTTTAATTAAGTTATCATTACATTTTTTCAGCTCATCAAATAAAAAATCATGTGGGGATTCACAACTCCTTAACGATATTACCAAATTCATGATATAATCCACTGTTTCATTAGTCAGAGATAGACATTTTTGGGAATAACTAAATAATATATACATGTGGAGCATGTTTTTAAAGCACACATTGTCACATATATCTCTTAGCTTCTTATTAAAGAATGTTATATTCCATGACACACATTCATGCGCTAATTGAGCCGGCTGCGATTCCAAACATCCCGAGCATTCCGCATATAATATCTCGTTTAAACAATGATCTAAAATAGAATAAATGAGCGTTTTTGCAAATTCATACATGTCTGGTTTCTGGTTTTCATCTGCTGATTGAATATCACTGTCCAAGCCTAGGATGCTTGACACAACCTCATGTCCAGGGCGCTGAATAGCTGCCATTTCAGGGGTCTCCTATAAAAACAAAATAATCATGTTAAAAACACATACAATGATCATTATTCCCAATACACACACACATGATCCCTTTTCAAACTTACTTGTAGCTGGCTTGGTGCAACACAGCAGAGCTTCCAGAGAGCAGAGATAGGCGGATTTTCAGCAGCCCCCTAAAACGTTTTAAAAGATCAGAGTGTTAGTAATTTACAGGATATACAACTTCATCCTTTTGAAACATTTCCCCACCACCCCTTTTCAACCTAAGTGGGATCAGAATAATAGCTTATAAGTATTACCTGCTCAACGTATGATGGTGTTGAAAGCGTCTTCAACAGACTATTCACAGATTCATGAACTACGCGTTCTTCCTCCCGAGATCTTTTAGCTTCTTCCCCTTCTTCCACATCATCCTCAGATGAGCTGATGTACCTTTTCCTACATAGATCATCATCCACTGTTGAATCAGGCAACTCCATAGTTGAAGGGCCAGCGGGTGAATCCATATTATGTGCTTTTCTGCAAAATGGTCAGAGCGCCTCCCTAAACTCAAGCAGGGGGCATTTAAACCCTAAAAACACCTATTGGCCCCCACTATCACATGGTCATCTTGCGGGCCTAAACTACTCCCTATTGGTTACCAGCCATCACGTGTGTCATCTTAGAAAGGGGCCGCAAGGGGCTCAGGCTGTTCATTTCCACATGCCATTCATTGGGGATAGGTCTATCCATGCTATGCTCCACACAAAGGGGGTTAGGGTTAGGGTGGGGGTGGGGTGGGCAGTGGGGTGGGGTTTCAGACCGTGGGAGGGTCTCTCTGACATCCATTTCCTGTTTAAGAGAGGCGGGACTTCAGGGGGTTGGCGTGGGAGGGGCGTGGGAGGGACCTTCCCCCAAAGTGGGCGTGTCACCTGTCAAAATTGAGTTTGACGAGAGGTGCCACCTATTACTACTGAGGTGAATAAAAGAGTTACCTTACAAACCAGAAGTTTACTTACAACATTATGTTCATTATGTTACATAGAATTAACACAAATTAACTTTTTTTAGAATGCAAATATTTTATTAAACTTAGCAACCATTTTAAGTTTTTGTTGTTATTTTTGGTCTACAAGTACTACACAAAGGTTTCCTGGTCATGCTGTCTCCTCAGAAAATTTTTCAGACTTTAGGCTTGCTAATAACAGAGAAGTGCAGTGCAGGAGGGGCCTCGGGGTGCATCTACACTGTAGAATGAATGCAGTTTGGCAGCACTTGGAACACCCATAGCGCAATGATATATAATCAAGCAAGTAGTCTTTTTACAAACTACTTCAACCTGACATGGCTTGATTGAACCACCACAACTCAATGTTCTGGAATCATGGCCCATGTAGTTTTGGGAGGCACCAGCACTCTTTGGCAGAAAAGGCCAAAGACCTTATAAAACTACAACTTCTATCATGCCATACCACTGAACCATGGCAGTGAAAAGGCCTTCTCTGGGCCCTTCCACACAGCCATATAACCCAGAACATCAAGGTGGAAAATCCCACAATATCCACTTTGAACTGCATTATCCGAGTCCACGTTGTCATATAATCCAGTTAAAAAGTGGGAAATATGGGATTTTATTAACTGTGTGGAAGGGGCCTGGGTTATCCGAGGCCCCTTTCACACAGCTGTATAAAATCTACATTGAAGTGGATGATATGGCAGTGTGGCATCAGATAATGCAGTTCAAAGCAGACATTGTGGATGATCTGCCTTGATATTCTGGGCTGTATTGCTGTGTGGAAAGGCCCTGAGTCCACACTGCCATATATTCCAGTTCAAAGCAGATAATGTGGGATTTCATTCAGTTGTGTGGAAGGGGTCTAGGATATCTGAGGTCCCCTCCACAAAACTGCATAAAATCCAAATTGAAGTGGATTATCTGGCTGTGTGGACTCAAGTAACCCAGTTCAAAGGAGATAATGTGGGATTTCATTCAGCTGTGTGGAAGGGGCCCCAGCCTGAGTTTGCAAGGCATCTGAGCTGCGGAAGGGTCATAGAATCATAGAGCCCTTCCACACAACCCTATATTCCATGACATCAAGGCAGGAAATCCCACACTATCTGCATGTGGATTCAGATAAGCCAGTTCAAAGCAGAGATTGTGGGATCTTCTGCCTTGATATTCTGGGATACAGGGCTTTGTGGAAGGGCCCTCTGAATCACAGAGCTGTTAGGAATGGTGGGAGTGGAAGGGCCAAACGCCTGGAGGGCCGAAGTTTGCCCGTGCCTGTTCCCCACCAGACCTGAGAGGCCTCAATCCCCGCCTTTGCGGCTGGAGAGAAGCGAGGAGGGCAGCGCCTCTCTCCTCCCCTCGCTTTGGCCGACAAATGGGCTCCTCGCCCAGAGACACTCCTCCGAGGGGAGCCCCCTTATAAAGGTGCCTCCAAGCCCTGGCCGCCCAGGAGCCCCGGCTGCCCGACTCGGAGCGCATCATGAGCGCCGCCCTGGCCTCCGTCTCCTGCGCCTTTGCCTTGGGGCTCCTCCTGGCTTCAGCCGCCGCCCAGCGCGCCCACACCCCCAAGCAGCAGCAGCAGCAGCAGCAGCCAAGGGCCAGGTAAGGAACCCACCCCCTGCGCCCTCTTCTTGCCCTCCACTCCATCCTCCTCTCCATCCGCTCAAGACCTTCCCGCCTCTCTGCCGGGTTCCCTCTCAAAGCAGGCTCAGGGTTTTCGAACTTTCTTGGGACTTTTCCCTCACCGGCTGCCTTTGCTTTATGCCGCCCACAAAGTGGAAACCGTCCCAGCAAATGGCTCTGTCCCGTGGAAGGACGAAGGGAAAACCGCTTGGCAAAAAAGACAGAAAGGGAGAAAGAGAGAGAGAGAGAGAGAGAGAGACTCGCTGGAGAGGAGGGTGCCTGCCAAGCATGGTGGGTGGGCGCGCTTCCTCCACCGCTTTTGGACCCGGGGGGCGGGGGTTGTTAGTGAATGCAAGGGATGGCAACCCGGGCAGACTGGGGAAGCTGGGAGGGATTTGAGGGGAGGAGGAGAAGCAGAGCATCTGAGTACACGCAGAGCGCCTTTCTCTCTCTACAACTGGCCCTCTCAAGCTCCTGAGACTAAAGCTTCCAGTCCCTGTGGCTTCTCTCTATACTAAGCATTATTGCATATTCCATAACCCATTGGAAATAACTGCACCATAGGGTTGTTGTAGGGTTTTCGGGCTGTACGTCCATTATTTCAGAAGCATTCTACCAGATACAGTAGAATGCTTGTAGAATAGCGCAAGGGCACAAAGACATGTGCCCTTGCGCTATGATACTCTGCTGCTGAGTATGCATGCCCAGTGTGGAACACATCTCACCACGCTAAAACAGTGGATGTGGCTCTTAATGAGACATGCCGCATTATCACCGGGTGTCTGCGCCCTACACCACTGGAGAAATTACACTGCTTAGCCGGTATTGCACCACCTGACATCCGCTGGGAAGCAGCAGCCAATAGTGAAAGGACCAAGGCAGAGACATCTCCGGCTCATCCCTTGTTTGGGTATCAGCCAGCACGTCAATGACTTAAATCAAGAAATAGTTTTCTAATATCTACAGTGACACTCGCTGGAACACCTCAGCAAGCAAGAGTCCAAAAGTGGCAGGCTCAAACCCAGAACCTCAATCAATGGCTGATACCAAATGAGAGGAGCCCCCAGTGGCGCAGTGGGTTAAACCCCTGTGCCAGCAGGACTGAAGACCCGACAGGTCACAGGTTCGAATCCAGGGAGAGGCGGATGAGCTCCCTCTACCAGCTCCAGCTCCTCATGCAGGGACATGAGAGAAGCCTCCCACAAGGATGATAAAACATCAAATCATCCGGGCGTCCCCTGGGCAACGTCCTTGCAGACGGCCAATTCTCTCACACCAGAAGTGACTTGCAGATTCTCAAGTCTCTCCTGACACAACAAAACCAAATGAGAGACTCCCCCCTGGGCACACAGAAAACTGGGCGACTTGGAAGACTGTGCTCTGGCACCACGAGATGCAGAGCCAACCTCAAGAAATGGGGCTACAAAGTGGAATCCACGACATGCGAGTGTGGAGAAGAGCAAACCACTGACCACCTGCTGCAATGCAACCTGAGCCCCACCACATGCACAATGGAGGACCTCCTTGCGGCAACACCAGAGGCACTCCAAATGGCCAGATACTGGTCAAAGGACATTTAATCAACTACCAAGCTTGCAAACTCTGTTTTGTCTGTTTGTTAAAAATTTGTTTAAAATGTAATACAATTGTCTGGTTGATACTGACATGATAGATAGATAGATAGATAGATAGATAGATAGATAGATAGATAGAAAGATAGATAAATAGAAGCATTCTCTCCTGATGTTTCACCTGCATCTGTGACAGGCATCCTAAGAGGTTGTTTCTTGGAAACCATGAAAATTAACAAAATCTGGCTACCAGTATTCAAAAACTCTAAAGTTACAACAGTAAATAAAGAACAACACTCAAACACATGGGAACTCCAGACAAGAAAGAATCAGGGCCAGCAAACCATATCTCAACAAAGGATTCCCCCAGGCAGTAACAAGTCACACCTAAAAACTGTCAGGCCACCAAATGCTAATCAAGGTGGCCAATTGAAGCATTCACACTTGCCTCCAACAGACAAGAGTTCTTTCTCCCACCCTGGACATTCCACAGATATATAAACCCCATTTTCCTAGTTTCCAACAGACCTCACAACCTCTGAGGATGCCTGCCACAGATGTAGGCGAAACCTCAGGCTGTTAGGAATGGTGGGAGTTGGTCCAAAACACCTAGAGGGAGTGCCCAAGTTGGCCCAAGCCTGCTCTATACAAATCTCAGCTTTGCTCCTGTTATAAAAGAGAGTTAACAATTTCACTTCTGAAGAAGAGTGTTACTAATTTGGACTTATGGAGAAATGCTTCAATTGGATAGTGCATTCTTTAATTTCTCAGTGCGCCAAAGATTTCATCTAAACCACTGTTTCTCAACCTTCCTAGTGCCGCAACCCCTTAATGCAGTTCCTCATATTGTGGTGACCCCTCAACCATAAAATTATTTTCATTGCTACTGTAATTTTGCGACTGTTATGAATTGTGTTGTAAATATCTGGTATGAAGGATGTATTTTCATTCACAAATACTGGATACGCCCAAATTTGAATACTGGTGGGGTTGGGGTAAGGAATGTTTTTTGTCATTTGGGAGTTGTAGATTTATAGTTCACCTACAATCAAAGAGAATTCTGAACTCCATCAATGACAAAATTGAGCCAAACATGGCACACAGTTCAGCTGCATCCAGAGAGCACTGTGGACTCAAGCAATGATGGATCTGGACCAAACTTGGCACAACTACTCAATATGCCCAAATGTGAACACTGGTGAAGTTTGGGGAAAACAGACCTTGACATTTGGCAGTTGTAGTTGCTGGAATTTATAGTTTGCTACAATCAAAGAGCATTTTAAACTCCACCAACGATGGAATTGAGCCAAACTTAGCACACAGAACTCCCATGACTAACAGAAAATACTGAAAGGGCTTGTTGGGCATTGACCTTGAATTTTGGAGTTGTAGTTCACATACATCTAGAGAGCACTGTGGACTCATACAATGATGGATCTGGACCGAACTTGACACAAATACTCAATATGCCCAAATGTGAACACTGGTGGATCTTGGGGAAAACAGACCTTGATATTTGGGAGTTGTAGTTGCTGGGATTTATTGTTCACCTACAATCAAAGAGCATTCTGAACCCTACCAATTATAGGAACTTCCCACACAGAACTCCCATGACCAACAGAAAATTTGTGTTTTCTGATGGTCTTTGGCGACCCCTAGTGACCCCCCTAACCCACCATTTGAGAAACCCTGATCTAAACCCTGAAAACCTTTCTTTGGGGGGGGCGGTCATATGCAATTGCTGGTTGCTTGGTGGTTTTGTTAAAAAAATGCTCCCATTATGCAACTAGGTCATACTGTTGATAACTTAATAAACAATGTTAGAAAGGAAATCAAACTAAGAGTGGAACTGTTCTAGAGAATGGGAAGTGATTCATGCTGAAGTGGCATCCAGATTTAGTAGTCACTCACCACTTCAACACTGATCTTTGGAGCATGGAAAGGCCAGGAGACATTAGGCAGATACTACAAAGCAGGGAATAAGCCACAGCTCCCTGATACATGCCTACCCCATATTTAACTGGCCCAACCCAAAATATTTGCTGCTGAGGGTTGAGTACTTTTGCCTTTTCCCTATTCCCTGTTAGCATTTCACCACCTTCTCGATGTAGAGGCCCTACTATTTCCTTGTTCTTCTACTGACATAACACTAAAAAACACCCAAACATGTTATTGTTTTTTTCTTTCTGGCAATCATGAACTAATTTTATGTTTAAGCCTTTTGGACTTTTGTTTGAATTCCTCTTTGGTGATTTCCCTCCTTTTTCACTTCTTGTGTGTGTCTCCTTTAAATCTTAGCTCAGTTTTTGGACATCTATTCTAGTTTCTTTAGACCTCTTTTTTTAAGCCTTGTTGCACTGTTTGTAATTGTGCCTTTAGTATCTCACTTTTAAGAAACTCCCATCCATCATTAACTCGCTTCTCTTTTAGTATTCTTATCCATGGAATCACCCTATTTCCCTAAATTTCCTGAAATCAGGTCTCTTAAAGTCTAGAATGCATGTCTGACTTCTCTTAGTTTTTCTTTCGTCTGTATAACAAACTCAAGAAGAACATGGTCACTCCCACCTAAGGATCCCATCACTTTCACTCCAGTTGCCAGGTCCTCAGTGTTGATTAAGATCAAATCCAGAATAGCTGACCCCTTGTTGCCTCTTCCACTTTCTGGACAATAAAATTGTCTGCAAGTCAAGTGGGGAACTTGTTGGACTTTGTATTCATGGCAGAATATATTTTCTAACAAATATCAGAAGAGTTGAAATCTCCCATTACTACTACAGGCAGTCCCCAAGTTACAAATAAGATAGGTTCTGTAGTTGAATTTGTTTATAAGTTGTAACAGCTACATTTTTGTAACTCTAGCCAATTCTGTCTATCCATCTTTCTATCTAAGCTTTGAATAGCATAGTTCCCTATTCTATCCAAAGATCAGATCTTCTGAACAGGGGCATAGACAGCAAAACAAACATGCCCATGGTGTTTATTTTGCTGTCAAAGCCCCTGTTCAGAAGATGTCACCTCCCTGTGGTTTTGAACAATTTGAAAAAAATGGGTGTTGTGGAAACAAGGATTGGTGATAAAGCTTCAGTTGAGTCACCTTTCCCCCATGATAACTTTTTCAAGAGTGAATTTTCCGTAGATTTCTCTCACTTCCTGTTGTCTCACCACTGTTCTTAACTATGAGTAGTATGTAACTCAGTGACTGCCTGTTTGTCTCTTCTTTCTCTTTGTTTGGTCATCTGTTCAAGGAAGGCTTCATTGAGATATTCTGTTTGGCCTGGAGGTCGTCAGTAGATCCCCACAACTACATCTTTTTTAGTTCTCTCTCCCTTAATTCTTATCCAGATATTCTCAACACGATTACTAGGAGTCCTGCATCTATTTGCAAGTGTAAACATCATTGAAATACAATGCTACTGCACCCCATTTCCTATGTAGTCTATTTCTCTGAAATAAGTTAAACCTTTCAGTACTACATCCCAACTATAGGATTCATCCCACCAGGTTTCAGTCATGTCTATTACATAGTAACTGTTTTGTTGTGCTAAGAGTTCTAGTTCATCTTGTTTATTTCTCATGCTCTCTGTATTAAAATACTGTAGAAACATCTAAGTTCATAGGACATTCCCTCTAGTTGTTCATTTGAGGTTATTGTCCTCTCACTGCTTGGTACAGATACATAAATACAACAATATGTTGCAGCATATCCTTCTTGAGCCATTCAAGGAATGTTCCTACAAAGCATTCCAA